TCCAAACCATGAACATACATTTCCTAGGCCATAAACAAATCTAAGATGTGTTATTTATGTTTTAAACCTTTATCTTTTGTCCATAGTTGTATTTTACATTCCTAATTCAGTTTAGGTTTCTTTCTATACTTCTTTGTTAGATCTATAAACAAGCCCAAAGGCTATAGGGGACACCATGTAACCAAGATTTCAATGTGGTTTATACTAGTACTTGGTTAAGGTTTAGACGATGTTAGGTATAAAATTTGGGGTTGTGACATTATCCCCCCATTAAAGGGAATTTCGTCCAGAAATTCAACTCCTAAGTGGTTACACATTAACTAGGGAGAGAGGTGGGTACTTCTTTTCCATATGATCTTTTTGTTTCCAAGTGAATTCTGATCCTCACATTGCGTTCCAATGGATCTTCACTATAGCATCTGATGTTTTGATTGGTGGAGAGTATGCGGGTTTGACTTACTTGTATATGTTCATCTGAATGGTAGCATGTTCATCCGTAGTCCTAGTAGCATTGTCCTGATGTTCATCCATAGTCATGGTAGCATTGCCCTAAGTCCACAACCAGACAAGGAATAGGAGATAGGGTGGAATCATACATCCTAAGTTTGTAAAATCTTAATTATATACCACTCTTGTGTATACACTTAATAGTGATAGGTTAGCCGCATGGGTACTTAGTCTGTATTCTTTGAACTTGACTTTCTATACGAGTAGTTTTCTCAAGATATCTACTGGAGATGCCTCGGGCGGGTTAGGGAAGGATGTAATACCCCTCACATGAGTACTTCGGAGGTTTGAAACAGGAGACGATTTTGACGTTCATATCTGTTTTGTCGTTATGAGCAACGAGAGTTTCATTAGTCGGTCATTTAAGGCTAAGGGTTTTTACGTGGCACAGGTAATTGGTATGGTGAGGACCAAGCCAATCCATTTTTAAGGATTACATCGGAATTTCTTATTGTAACGGTTGTTAAGTCGATTCGAAAGAAGTGTTTATTAGAGTGGTAGTACTTCCTATGTTTTTGTCTTTAGTGTTCTTTGTTTTATCATTGTTATTACTACTGTGAAAATTTGTACTGTATTTAGTGAGTACTAGCAGTACGAGTGTTCTGATAATTAAAAATAACTAACTTTCATAATATAATCCCTACCAGGTCCTTCTATAATCGATTTGTGTATACAAGTCATGTATAATTAAGATTGGAAAGACAATTGATTGAGTGACTCTGCCCTAAATCCACATCCAGACAAGGAACAAGAAGTAAGGCAGAATCACTCACTCTATGCCTTCAAATCTTAATTATAAATGAACCTAATGTATACACTAAGCCATCATAGCTCACCTGCAAGGATCCTTAGTTTTTATTTGAATGATGTGTTTCGTTCGGACGAGAGTGTAATTTGTAATTATTTATAAAAAGTTTTAAGTTTTAAATATTTTTAATGAGAACATGTACCACTGTTCATAGGGATTCCAGGACAGTCTCTCCTGCGATAATCATCAACACTCTTCCATCTCTGCCAACATTCTTTGCTATTGGACAATCCCTCCTGAAGTATCCAGTTTCATCGTACTCGTAACAAGCTGAGTTTATTCCAATATTTGATTGAGGGGTTGTGCCGTTGATCTACAGAGACGGGTAGTATGCCCCTTCCTGTTCCAATTTCTGTGGTGTAACTCTCAGCATGCTCCATAGTGATGAAAGTTACACTTGTTGCATTTTGGGCGAATCCCCGCATGTTGTTGTGCTAGCGTTGGCGTGGCAGGTGTTGTAACAACATGAACAGCAACAATCTATTGTTTCTTCGAGGGGTCTTGAGTTAGCTGTCCCTTTTTCCTACTCTCATATCTTTGTTTATGGTCTCCCCCTTTTGGTGGTTCAGGAACGGGTGTCATTATTCCTTGGCGTACCCCATCGTGCACAAGTATTTGTACTAGTCAATTGGCACAGTTAAACTTGAGAGGTTTGTAGCTATCATGTTTCCTTGGATCTGAAGAGATAGTCCCGAGATGTATCTGTATATCTTTTTTCTCTCTAGGGTAACCATCCCGAGGCATACTACCGCTAGATCACTAAATCTACTAGTGTAGGTTTTTATGTTTGAACCTGTCATGGTAAGTTCCCACAACTCTTGCTCTAGTTTTTGTACTTCACCCCTCGGGCAGTACTCCTCTAGCATCATTGTTTTTAGGCTTTCCCAGCACTTTGAGTTTTCCACTAGTAGGGTCAGTGACTTGACATGGCTCTTCCACCATGACATGATCCTATCATAGAAAGTGCAGGCAACAAACTTGACTCTGCTCCCTTCTCGGCATGTGCAAATTTCGAAAACCAATTCTGTTTTCTCAAATCAATGAATTACAGCAATGACTCCTCCACTTCCGCTAAAGGATTTAGGTTTGCAATTCATGAAGTGTTTATATGTACACTCCCTAGGGTGTCTGTGGCAATTTTCATGGTTAATGTTATTAATACAACTTCCCGCCCCATTGGCCTTATTTTCATGGATCTGAGTCATGTTGGCTGCTACGACAGCAGTTACCACAGCCTGAAACATAGTGAGATCACATTGTGTTGGTGGTGGCAGTGTATTTGTTTTCGTGTTGTTATTACGCCTGATATATATATATATATATATATATATATATATATATATATATATATATATATATATATATATATATATATGAGGCAGCATCTTTCTGTCATAGAGTTTAAAGATGAAAGGTTGGTAAGATTAGTTAGTGGTTATAAATCGACTATCATAAGAACCAGTTATTGTAGTCTGAGTGTATCATGCTCCGAAAGTGTTTTGTAATCAATTCATAACATATGTTCTTGTGGAAAATAAACTTATGAATTTTCAATAGTGACTACCCTCACTGAAATTTTATGACTTGATTTGCAGTTATTAGTTGTGATGAATGACGTGATAAACCTAACACATAGTGTGACTAGTGTAATCACCGACTCACTAGGTTATATAAGTTTCATAGTTATTAGTATGACGTATAATGTGTTCTCTAGTTTGTTCATGATAGGGTAAGGTCTGCTAATGATCTCTCTAGTGCATTGCTCTTCGTCTAATCCTTTCTCGAAAATACTTCTTGTGAAACCTATTTCGGTTCTGCCTCGACTCCTCTGTTGGCTATTTGTGCGAGGATGGGAGTGTCTAAAGAATCTATGAGATTAATAAAACATTTTTATTAAAATAATTTTTCACGAAAATAATCCTTACCGGGTCTTTCTATAATCACTTACTGTGTACAGATTATATATAACTAATATCAAATAGACCTTCGAATAACTAATCCTACTATAAAACCACAACCAAACAAGGAGCAGGAAGTTGAGTGAAGATCCCAAATTCTATGTCTATAAAATCTTTATTATATTAACCTTAACGTATACACTCAGTAATTATAGACTTACCAGTAAAGGTCACTTTGTTTTCACATGAGTTAGTTATTGTACTTCAAATACTCATAGTATTTTAATTGTATGTTTGATTCTGGAGCTTCTTGGTATATTAAATTGATAAGTTTCTGGACTTCTAGTTATTGCATAGTTTCATAAAATACTACTATAGTATTTTAAACTTTATGTTTGGTTCTAGTATTCCATTGTATATGTAGTTGGTAAGTTTTAAACTTGGTGAAACACCACTATCACTCCCAAACACATGTTGGTCGTATCTAAAATAAATATAGTTGATCAGGCTATAGTTATCCCAGATATGATTACATAACCATCCAGGTTTAACTGTAGTGTTCAACATCTAAATACTTCTGTATCGTTCTTTTTGTGATGCTTGTTCTAGTATGTAAGCATGTAAGTGTGTATACTTTTTATAAAAAATATTGTTATATTTAAAAAGTATACTTTTAATCAGAGCACTTCGTCCCCATTATATTTCTAAAGAATGCTCTGATACTGATCGTTCGCACCCTAAACCGAAACGACGGAAACATTCTGGGGTGGAAGACATGATGTACAGTGTCACAACAATTTTATAATGCAATCAAAGCAACAACAAACATCATATTAATAATATAAAGTTTACATTGTTTTCAAAACAATTCATGATTTACATTAAAACTATAGGAAAAGTTAAGACGTAAAGCTCCATCTTCGCAACACTTGAGAGGGTACCTGTCTACTAACGTTCCTGAGAATACAAGTGGCTTGAAAAAGTGTCAACATTAAAGTTGGTGAGTTCATACGCATTTTTGTGATAGAAAGTATATCCTTTATTCTTTGGAAAGTTTGTGTGTTTATTAAAAAAATCCTATATTTTCTTTATAAGAATGTGACCATGCTAGTTCCTCCTATGATTACTTAGTTTATACTATTTATATATAAACTAATATCAAATGGACAGTTGAATGTGTAGATCTGTCCTAAGCCCACAACCAAAGACGGAACAGGAAGTAAGGTGGAAACCACACATTCCACTGTCTATAAGATATTATTTCTATATAACTCTAATTTATAAACTAAGGAAATCATAGAGTTAAAAATTAAAGGTCCTTTATGATATACTAGTTTGTAAATAAGTGTTGAACCTTTTGTAAATACATTCCTAGTTCCACCTTGTCAACTTTAAAGTATTGTTTCGTAAAATAAAGATGTTTATCCTGGAAAATCTTATATTTTCCATGAAACCGAATTGTAGTTTTAAAGTTTCCACGATCGAAAAGTACAAGTATTATTGCCATACTTAATTTAATGATACATAGTTTTATTCACAAGCAACACTAACTGAAGACGTGTTTGCATTATAAATTAGGTATGAAGTTAATACCCTCTTATGATTACTTAGTACATACGAGACAAAATTGCAAAAATGGTCCCTGTGTTTAGCAAAATTATGCGACTTTGGTCCAAAACAATACTTTGATGCACCACTGGTCCAAAATTGGATTTTTCCATTGTTTTTGGTCCCTCCCATTAACTTCCGTCCATATACTCCGTTATATGCAACAAAGACGGGGGTATTTTTGTCTTTCCACCTCCATATCATCGATTACCACCATATTGAATGATATACACAGTTAATGACCCTTCACTCTACGCATTAAACCCACTTTGTTGATTGAAAACCCTAATCGTTCATTGAAATCTTGCATTTGATCATCAACCGCAATCATAAGTTTGAATCCACGAGTATGGTCCAAATGTGGGAAATCAGGCCAAGAAATCAGTGTTTTGATGCAATCCGAATTTACGGTAACGTACTCTGTTTCTTACATATTTCTTTGAAACAAAAAAAAATCTTTTACAATCCATATAAAGTAATGTTTTTTTGGTTTGGTTCATGATTTTTACAGAAGGATATCCCACGATGTTCACTATTGAGCTCCATCATGGAGGGAGGTTCACAAAATTCCCAGGGATAAGCTACATTGAAGGAAAATTAGACCACATTGACTTGGTAGACATGGATGAGTTCTCTGTGCATGAGTTGGACGAGGTGATGCTGAAGCTTGGTTATGATGTACCACCAGTCATTTACTACCACTATCAATTGCCAAATGGAGATTTGGAGTTTGGTCTTAGAGCTCTAGGGAATGATATTGATGTACTTAGTCTTGCACAGTACATTGAACATCATAAGATCATCAAGGTATACACTGAACATAATGAAACTAAGTTACTTACATACTTTATGTCTCCAAGAGTTAAACCTAGGGTCATAATTGAGGAAATAGCAGATGATGTGCCCACTGCAACTGTTGGTGATCAAGATGTCCCAAATCTTGAATTGTGTTTAGTAAGATATGAGACACCCGAATACAATTCAAATAAGAGATTGAGGTTAGTTGATGGGAGTCAATCATGTAGTAAGAAATTGTGTTTCAACTTGGAACACACTGCAACTGTTGGTGATCAAGATGCACATGTTGAAATTGGTAATGAAGGTGCAAATATTAGTGAGCAAGGTGCAACTGTTAGTGGTCAAGATACACATGTTGAAATTGGTAATGAAGGAGCAAATGTTAGTGATCAAGGTGCAGCTGTTGGTGATCAAGATACAGAAGTTCATGATCAAGGTGCAAATGTTGGTGACCAAGAAGTAAATACAAGAGAGTTTGATACCTTTGATGACCAACCATTTCAATTTGAAGACTTTGATCCTTTCTTTGATCAATATACTTTTAATGATGGTAATGATCAGAGTATGGGTGTTGGTGCAGAACTTGGCACAAGACTAGGGGAAGTTCAATTTGAAAGTGAGGGAGATTGTGAAGGACTTGGTGAAGGAGGTAGTGAAAGGGGTAGTGAAGGGGGTAGTGAAGGGAGTGAGGAAGACAGTGACTTTCTTGAAGATGAAGAAAACTATGTAAGTGATATTGAGGTGGACATGAGTGATTTCTATATGAATGTTGATCTAGATGTTGAATATGTTGACAGAGGAAAAGGTGTTGAGACTGAAAATGAAGTTGTTGATACAGAAGATGTTGAAGATGTTGAAGTAATTGATAATGATGAATGGGACTCATTAGGTGAAGATAGTGATGATGAAAGAAGGAAAGCAATATTAAAACAGATGGTGAAGGAGAAGAAGTGCTCTCTTGGTGAAGTCCATACAGTTACTTTTCAAGTGGGTCAAAAGTATAAAAGTAAAAAGGAAATTAAGGACAAAGTCAACAAACTTGCCATTGAGACTAGAAGGAATCTTGGCTTCAAGAAAAACGACAAAACAAGGCTTAGGGTTGTGTGTAAAGGTAATGTACCTAATGTAAATGCAAGTGGGGTAGGTAAGGGCAATAAATTAAATTGTTCTTGGTCAATGCAGACTTCACGGTCAAAAGATAGTGATTATTGGTATGTGAAAACTTTACTGGACAAACATACTTGTGTTCAAACTAGAAAACTTAGGGCTTGCACTGCGAAGTATATATCTGCAGAAATCTTAGACATGGTCGAGTCTAACCCTACAGTACCCCTTCGAAGCATTCAAGAGCAAGTTCAGAAGAGGCTTCAAGTTGGTGTGTCCATACACAAAGTACAGAGAGCAAAAGCAACAGCTACAAAGCAAGTGAGTGGTGACTACACAAAGCAATACGAGGTGTTAAGAGATTATCTTATGGAACTACAAGCAACTAATGTGGGTACAACTGTGAAGCTTGAGGTTGTTAATGAGCCTAACAGTACTAGAGAAACAAGGCAGTTTAAAAGGGTGTATATTTGCTTAGGGGCATTAAAGAAAGGGTTTAAAGCAGGTTTAAGAGATATTCTGGGACTAGATGGTGCTTTTATGAAAGGACCCTTTCCAGGCCAAGTACTCACAGCAGTTGGATTGGATTCAAACAACGGCATATACCCACTTGCATATGCCATTGTTGAGACTGAAAATATGAGTAGCTGGAAATGGTTTCTAGAATGCTTGGGAGATGACTTAGAGTTGTACTCAAATTCTAACTTTACTTTCATGAGTGATAGACAAAAGGTACTATTTTCTTCTTTTTGTATTACTAATAGTTTATTTGTATATGATTGTTGCAATGATTATGTGAAATAATCCTTTACAGGGACTCTTACCTGCTATTGCACAACTATACCCACAGGCTGAGCATCGATTCTGTCTAAGACATATTTATGAGAACATGAGGAAAAAATGGAAAACAAAAGAGTATAAAGATCACTTATGGCAGTGTGCAATAGCAACCACAGTACCAGAATTTGAACACTACATGAATGAACTTAACAAGTTTGATAAGGATGCTTTTGAGTGGTTGAAGAAAATCCCCCCTCACCATTGGGCCAGAAGCCACTTTTCAGGTTACATTCCCTAACTTAGGTGAAGCTTTACTAGTGCTCATTGTATATGGTTTAGTTCATATAATTTTCTTGTTTAATACAGGCAGAGCAGGATCAGATATATTGCTCAACAATTTATGTGAGGTTTTCAACAGTAAGCTTATTCATGGTAGGAATAAGCCCATCATAAGTTGTCTTGAGTACATCAGGCAGTACCTTATGAAGAGGATTTGCAATGTGAAGAAAGTGATGTCCAAAGCTCCAGGTCCACTCACTCCAACAGCATCAAAGTTACTTGAGAGAAATAGGGAAGCTTCAGTCCAATATAGAGCTAGATGGAATGGGACTGCAAAGTATGAAGTTTATGGTCCTTGGCATGACCAGCATGTGGTTGACATGACAAATATGTCATGTACATGTAGAAGGTGGGAATTGAATGGGATTCCATGCAGGCATGCCATAGCTACAATACATGAAATGGCTGATAGTGGAGACAAAGTTGGGGAGCTTTACACTTATGTCAACAAAGTGTATTGGCTTCAAACATGGAATGAAGCTTACTCTTACACTGTGGACCCTATAAAGGGTAGAGCCATGTGGCCAAAAAGTACCTGTCCATTTCAATTAACACCACCACCACATCACAATCAACCTGGGAGACCTAAGACCAAGAGAAAGAGAAGTGCAGATGAAAAATATGATAAACAGATGCAAAATCATGGTGCAGGTGAACCTGAAAAACTTACCAGAAAGTTTGTTAGTGTAGGTGTGGGAAATGCAACAATAGGGGTCATAACTCAAGGACGTGCAAGGGTCAAGGTGGGAATGCAGGAAGCAATGAAGGAGGGAATGCAGGAAGCAGTCAAGGAGGGAATGCATGATGCAGTCAAGGAGGGAATGGAGGTAGCAGTCAATGCAGGAATTAGTGTATTTTGTTTAAAAACTTATCTTTTGGTTTAGCACAACTTTTGTGCATTTGGATGTAATGGTTTAAAACTAGTTTGTTGTAATGGTTTTATTTTGGTCTTTTAGCCCTTTTGGTCATGAAACTAATGTCAACCTTTTGTCATTGTTGAAGAATGATGTTTATGGTTTATACCAACTGTTGGTTGTCATGTTTATGGAACACATTTTGGTTATAAGAACTGTTTTCTGAAACAACAAATAAACATTAACATTAGGTGATAACTGCAATACATTGTCATTATATCCTTGAAAAGGTACAAATTTCTGAAGTTGTCCAAAATAACCCTAAACTGATATTACATTATCAAATACCAAAAACTACCACATTCCCTTGTTACAATTTCATAAGACAAAAAACACCCAAAATTACATGCAACTACAGGGGTCCCTAATTGCTTATTACTAAATGAAAAGCACCCAAACCACCACAAATAGTAACCAACTTGCAAACAAACACATCTTCAATCTTGCCACTTGATAGTTTACATTGTTGATATTCCTCAATAATCCGGGTATTATCAACATAGATCGTGCACACATGGGAGGATCAATCCATCCTAAGAATCGGCATCTGGAACCCTTCACATAAAAAAATAAACCCTAAACATGAGGGTGATTTTCCAAAATGAGGGTAAAATAGCAAAATCGAACACTTAACTTTTGAGGTCAGGAAAGAAACCTCTGACCAGGGTTTGCTGATGTCCAGGAGGTGCGAACCACCGCTTCCCTACCACAGAAACACATCACCATTTTAATTTTTGATCTCTAAGAAATTGTGAACACAGAGTAGGAAGAGTATGAAGCTCGTGAAGTTGAAGATGGAAGAGTGATGTAGCTCTGCTTTTATTTTGAATAAGGTTGAAAAAAAGGTCCCTGTAAGTGGAAAGATGAAAATACCCCGGTATTTATTGCATGTAATGGAGTATATGGATGGAAGTTAATGGGAGGGACCAAAAACAATGGAAAAATCCAATTTTGGACCAGTGGTGTATCAAAGTATCGTTTTGGACCAAAGTCGCATAATTTTGCCAAACACAGGGACCATTTTTGCAATTTTGTCTACATACGAGCTATATAAAATCGAGATCGAATAGACAATTAATTGGGTGAATCTGCCCTAAGCCCACAACCAAACACTAAGTAATCATAGAGTTATTTCCCCTTAAGATTGGGTAAAGTATATCTTTACATAAATAATTAGTTAATACTTATTGTGAAAGTTCATTATAACCATACTAATATGACTAATTTCCTACACGATGTTCTTCAAGCGTCGTAAATTTAATGAGGTTTGTCTCCTCAGGCCTGCCGGCCTAGGTGTAGAAAGTAGCTCAGGTGTGGGATTGTCTGTCTCGTATAGATATATACACAAACTCAAGCTCTCCCTCCAGGAGAATCTGGTTATAATTTGGATTTTAATGGGTACCATATTTGGTATATCAAGCGGTTCACAATCCTGTATTAACTTGTTTACATTAAGTGAAAAACCTTTTAGTAAATAACATGTAGCTTTGTAAAATAATTCCTTTGTTCCATAAACTTTACCTGTTAAAGTTTATATGTTTGTTTTTCCATGTTTTAACCTGGACTTTGTAAAATAGTTGATATGTTCCATAAAATATACCTATTATACTTTATAAGTTTATTTCCATGTTATAAATACATATTAATGGTAAGAAAACATAATAAGTAAATTATATTTTTAAACACAATATTTCTTGTGTTTTATTCGTATCCCCCCCCCCCTTAAAAACATCGAAAAATCTTGGGAAAATATAGGTGTATGAACTCACCATGTGTGCAGTTTTGACTAGATATCGAGATGAAAGCGGTGACCTTCGGATTAAAATATGGGAGAGTTGTCATGATACTAATGATTTTAAACAAACAATAGCATGTGAATAATATGAGTTAATTATAAACATGATTGTATATCATTAGACTATAAAGACTTACTATGATTTCCGAATGGCAATGACTTGAAGAAAAAAACTAGCATATGTTTTAAGGATGAATGGAATATGGTTGATGTTTGAGAGAAAAAGTGAGTGTTTTCATCAACTGGATGTGTAGAATGAAAGAATTGATCTTATATGATGCTTATATATGAAGTAACTTAAGTATGAAGGAATTTATGAGGCGGTTGTATTGGTAATTAAATCTTATCACATTGGTATGCTGAATTAGGATAATATATGAGATATTTAAGGAGTTTACGCCAAAATAAATGAGCTTTGGTTTGTGTTCACGATCATACATTGGCCGTGAACTCTATGCTAATTTTTTCCTAGGCCATGAACACCATTTATCCTTAAACTCCAAAATTGTGAACACCCTTTATCCTTTTAATTCCAACTGTGAACTCTTTTTGGTTTGATACTCTAAACCATTAACACAATACTTTATACTTTAAGGCCATGAACTAAATGATATTTGGAACTTTGGACATTGAACATACATTTCCAAACCATGAACATACATTTCCTAGGCCATAAACACATCTATGATGTGTTATTTATGTTTTAAACCTTTATCTTTTATCCATAGTTGAAATTTACCTTCCAATTTTAGTTTAGGTTTCTTGCTATACTTATTTGTTAGCTCTATAAACAAGCCCTAAGGCTATAGGGGAAACCATGCAACCAAGATTGCAATGTGGCTTACACTAGTACTTGGTTAGGCTTTAGAACATTCTAGGTCTAAAATTTAGGGTTGTGACACATGGACCATATCTGGACACCGAAGTTTGGAGGTTTCAGAGACGTGGTCATGAATGAAGCCCACAAAACAAAGTACTCCGTTCATCCGGGTTCCGACAAAATGTACCTGGATCTTAAACACAATTATTGGTGATTGAATATGAAACTTGAAATAACTACCTACGTGAGTAAGTGCCTGTGTTGCACTAAAGTAGAGGTAGAGTTTCAGAAGCCCTTGGGTCTACTACAACAACCAAAAATACCTGAGTGTAAGTAGGAATGGATAACAATGGATTTCGTAACCAAGTTCCCAAGACAATGGGCAGACTTGCACCATTTGGGTCATTGTGGTCCGGTTGACCAAATCTGCCACTTCTTGCCAATAAAGCAAACTGATAAAAT